TATTCTTCACTAATGAATTATCTGATCTTTGTGTCATGTGATTAGGACGGATGGTGCGGCTTCCCTACACGAGGCATGCAGGTGTCAGGCTCACACACAGGTGGAGCTCTCGGATTAAAACTTTCTTTGAGCTTACATACTTTGGTCTTAAGTGGATCTGGGATACAACTGGGTTTGATGATATGCTAGGGGCAGAATGTCAGGCCTCTCTGTCTTGCAAAACACACAGAAAAAAAATCCATCTGACCAGAACGGAGCATTATTACGATTATTGTGTTGACCCTTTCCCCCCTTTTTCTTTTGTAATTCAGCTCGAAATTCATCTGCACCCTTTTGGACTTTCCTCCTGTGTCGTCTCGCAGCATCACTCACTCTTGTATTGTTTCCCTCCCAGCCTATGTGACTCTCATCGCTCTCTTCAATGAGCAGCATGAATAGAAAACAATTTTCAGCTCGAGATCAATTACTAAACATATGGAAGCCCGATATTACGACAAGAAAATGCTGCAAGCAACAGCTGGCCACGTTTCAATGACCTGCCTTTGAGGTGACACCGTCAAGGACGAACGCCTGAACGCAATATGAGCACAAACAACAAAAACACAGGACGTAATCGCTTGCAAAATATGCAACTGATAAATTGAGAGATATCACTAATCAAGTTAACGGCCGTGTTATTGAATTACACTCATACACATGTATACGGTTGCTCACAGCGGTGGTTAATTGCCAGGTGGTGGAAGATAATGTGTGATTTAACGGACTGATGGATTTGTCTCTGTTTCCGTCACCCATCAGTGAACAGAGACATCTGTAGCAGAGTAAACACTTAGTCTCACACATAAAAACACACGTCTAAAGACACTTTTATGCCCTAATAAGGGAGAAACCTCCAGAAATGTGTGTGCAAACTTGTTGGAATTTCCCAAGCTTCATGCATCTGTTTGCATGTGTTCGTGCATGAGGCTGTTAATCCTTGCTGGCCCGTTTCTTGTGGTTGATGAGTGGCCCGAGGTTAGGAGCTGCTCGGGAAGCTGCAGCATCCCGAGGCTTTACAATGTGTTTACTACTCAAACTGACAGCAATAGTACAGCTTATTATTGGCCTTGCAAGCCTCCGCACTACGCTGCGAGTTAGAGGAACTCCAGGGAGGCTGACCGCCAGTGGCTAGAAGGCATGCCAGCCAAGCCTGTAACTATTGGCAGAGATTAAAATAAATGGTGGAAACTGAACCCGAGAAACAGAAAAAATACATATTTCGGGTATACACAAGAGGCAGTTGGACAGTTTTTTTTCTTTAGTCTTTTGGTATGCAGGCATCAACGGCTTTTTGCCTGCTAATTAACTAAGAATGGTATGCTTGGGTATTAGAGATGCATTCATCAGGCTGATACAGATTTTTGGTATTCTTTGCATCTGACCTTCTGAGTCGAGATTTTTTTTTCTTTCTGTAAACCAAAGATTTCCAAACTGTGGTCCCCGTGAGGGAAGCAATTGTACTGGTGGGTGATGAGAAGGACGAGTGTCCCTACTGATGATTTTTTACTTTTACCCAAAAGAAACTAATGCATGTTGTAGTCTGAATAAAAGGAACTGAATATTTCTGCCCTTCTGGAGTCTGTTTTCTTTCTTATTGCTGTTTTAAGTCCAACAGAAAATGAAGAAATGTATGGATAGATAGATAGATAGATAGATAGATAGATAGATAGATAGATAGATAGATAGATAGATAGATAGATAGATAGATATAGATAGATAGATAGATAGATAGATAGATAGATAGATAGATAGATAGATAGATAGATAGATAGATAGATAGATAGATAGATAGATAGATAGATAGATAGATAGATAGATAGATAGATAGATAGATAGATAGATAGATAGATAGATAGATAGATAGATAGATAGATAGATAGATAGATAGATAGATAGATAGATAGATAGATAGATAGATAGATAGATAGATAGATAGATAGATAGATAGATAGATAGATAGATAGATAGATAGATAGATAGATAGATAGATAGATAGATAGATAGATAGATAGATAGATAGATAGATAGATAGATAGATAGATAGATAGATAGATAGATAGATAGATAGATAGATAGATAGATAGATAGATAGATAGATAGATAGATAGATAGATAGATAGATAGATAGATAGATAGATAGATAGATAGATATAGATAGATAGATAGATAGATAGATAGATAGATAGATAGATAGATAGATAGATAGATAGATAGATAGATAGATAGATAGATAGATAGATAGATAGATAGATAGATAGATAGATAGATAGATAGATAGATAGATAGATAGATAGATAGATAGATAGATAGATAGATAGATAGAAAATGTTAAAGTAATAGAATATTTAAAAAATACATAATAGTGCAAATAATAGCAGACAAGTACCATAGTTAGTTTGGCAGCAGGTAGTTTATAATGAACTTTGGTTTTGGGTTTCCATGATTGAACCACTTCACACATTAAAGAGAGAAAAGTGTGCTGTAGGTTTCTTGATAGATACAAGTCTTTGAATTTTTTTATTAAACTGAAAAACAATCATTGATAAATGTATAGAGTTCGAAAAGTGGGAGTTTTAATTTTTAATACATTTAACCAATCAGAAAAATATTTTGTCCTGATAATCACCAATCATAGTCAATCAAGGGAAAATAGGTTGATTCTGATTTTATTTTTTTCTCAAACGACACACCAAGGACGATTTTGCTTTGTGCTTTTCAGACATAAAATTTCGAATCTAACAGAAAATGAAGGATTTACAACATTATCTCAATTTATGCATCAAAGCCCACCTTCCTAACCTGCATTTTTTACATCCTAAAGTGTGTAATAAAATCCATATTATCTGTTGATTCATTCTAAAACCAAAAAATGATGCTTACTTTTTAGTATTAGTGCATTATTTGAAAAAGAAAAAAAATGTCAGCATTCGATTTGCCAATCGCTAATCTGAGCTGATCAGGGATAAATTAGCAGGCTTCAATCTCCAACCATTTGATGGGTGCATCTCTGATTAAAAAAAAAAAAAGTTATTGCTTCTTACTGCTCAGGCCGCTGTCATGGTGTCTGAGCACAGAGAGAACAGAAAAGAGGCTGCGATGTGAGGATCAGGGATGAGACAGGTCCACAGAGATCAGAATGTTCTTTAATTAACCACCTCTTCTTTTCTTTTTTCTTTGTAAAAGACACTCACACTGCACCAGCTAAGAATATTCTGCCTCTGGGATGAAAACAGCAGCGGTAGGAAGGGAGGGGGAAGAAACTGCTGGGCTTTGCAGAACTCGGGTCCAAGAGTGCTAGGTTAAAGGTTAGGCCTGCTCCGTATTATTTTTATTTCTTTTTCTTGGAAAGAAAACACGTCTTCTGGCTGCGAATGTGCAGCAGAGATCAACGGACGAACGACAGAACTAAAAGCTTTGTCAAGGTTAGCGCTGCTCGAGTTACGCCTTGTGATCGTCAACTCCTTTGCTTTTCCTTATGCCTTTAAGCATCCCTTGCAAAAACCAACTTCTGTCTCAGATATAAAAACTGAAGGTGGAATTTAATTTGCATTTATTACCAAAATTATCGCTCAACCTAAGGGAGTTGGGGGAGAAGTCAAATTATGAGGAGAAAAGCAAGAAAATTTAAGCTAAAACACTTGAGCACTAAGTGTGCAGCATTTTCCTGCAATTATGCTTCTAGTAACATGCCAAAAACTAAGACCTTAGCGGTTTCCGCTTCTGTTACTTTATCCACTACTTACAGCTCTCCAGTTATGAGCTATAAAATAATCTCCCTTGCCTCTAATAGTTTTATTTCACGCCGTAAGCTCAAAACTGCTGGCCTACAGTAGGAGTTGGCGCCGGCGGACCAAATCATTTATGTCCCCCCTGCCCGAAAACAAGCCTTACATTATGTTTGTACCCTTAATAGTACAGAATCATTGTTTTTCTCAATGCTCATCCTTGGAAATAGTAGACGCTGTAGAACAAAACACAAGATATTCTGAGCGATACGTAGTTCCAGAAACCATTCACAAAGACAGGACTCACTCCATGATGAGAAAAAAGCAAAACGGTGCAATAAGAAAAAATAAGACCATTTTTGTAATTGAATTGTTTTGTGAACGTAGTAAATCAATCTGCAAACAAGATTCAAAGAAAATATTTACAATGGTTCCAAGTCAAACTGCATCCAAATGGGCTCATTTTTATATAAATGTACATTTGCATGAAGGACTTTTACTATCCTGCTGCAGACTGGTGCTGCATTCCTTATAAATCTGGTGGCATAGAGCCATACATGAACTCAGGAGGAGAATGTTTAAATAAAAAACAGAGGAGGGATAAAAAAAAAAATAGACAGAACCGAGGAGCAAAGGATTAGGAGGATAAAAAAACAACTCAGGCTCTGTGTGTAAACAAGAAAAAGGGGACTTAGGGAGGAACAGAAAGAGATGGCAACTTGGAGAGGGAGAGATTGAACAGTGACACTGCTGCAACACAATGGGGTCAGCATGAAGAAGTGCTCCTAATTGAATCACACAGAAGAGAAGACAGTAAGACAGAGGAGATGAGAGATGAAGGAGTCACATTCTCTCCCTCTCTCTATGCATGAACGTAGAGGGAATAAACTGTTACAAGCAGACTACGAGGAGCAGGAATATAAATATGTCTAAGCAACTGTGGAGCAGAGGGTGTTGAAAAGATGTTTTGGAGCCACCTTGACCACACAGCGGGGGTCTGGCAGAGCAAGACTCAAAAATAGCTCCACTGAATTTCTAACTCGGGCTTGTGCAACCTTTTCCATCAAGAGGGGGGAAAAAAAAACAGATGGGCATGCAAACACCCCCCCCCACACACACACACACACACACACACACGCACACACACACACACACACACAAAGAAAGAACATATACAAAGAGAGCAGAAAATGCATTAAAAGTGTAAAACGAGCCGGATAAAGACGGGGATCTTACTGTATGTTGGAGCTGTTCCAGTAAACGGAGTGCCTGTTGGCTGACACCTGGAGCACGCTGCCCCAGGTGAGACTCGTAAGCACCCAAAGAGACAGCGCTGCCAGAGCCATGCTCCCGGCTCCTCTCTCGGTCTCTGCGGCCTCTCTCTCTCTCTCTCTCTTTCTCTCCCTCTCTCTCGGTCACCCCACCAAACAGCGCGGCTCAAACATCCCAGCAATGCCTAACAAGCGAGAAGGTGGCAATAAAAAACAATGAAAAACATTTTAAGAAGCTTCACGCATGCATGCACACAAACTACTTTCAGAGATGCTGTTTGGGCAAGAAGTGTTGGGAAAGTCTGTTGTAACACCAGACTGTGCGAACCTCCTCCTCCTCCTTTTCCTCTTCCACCAGCGGATCCCAGAGCTTCAAAGAACGGGGTTTGTGGTCCGCGTTTATACCCGAGGCGGCCCCCTCTCCTCCTCCTCTCACCGGGGTACTGCTGCCGCTGAGGCCGCCAGAGAAGTGTCGCAGGTCGGCGTTGGGTCCAAGCGGGAGGTCGGTGCTGCTCCGGGTCTTTAAAGCAGTCCGACAACGAGTTGTTGTTTAAAATAAAATAAAAATAAAAATAAAGGATCAACAGTAAAAAAAAAAATATATAATAATAAAATAAAAAAAGAAAGAAAGAAAAAGTCCTTCTCTTTATAAGTGTTTTTTTTTAACTGTTGCAGCTTATTTTTCTTCTTTCCCAATAAATGCGCAGACGATCTCAAAGGTGCAGCAAAGCAAGAACAAAAAACAAAATCAAGCTTTCTCCCCTTCTACAACCATCGTGCACGGTGAGCAGGCTGCCCGCACGTCGCTCTCCTCCTCCTTCTCCTCCTCCTCCTCCTCTCTGTTTGGTAGGCAGCACTCGTTCACTTCCTAACTCCACCCCCCTGCGAGCGACAGACAGAGGGGGAAAAAATACGGCGCATTCCTCCAAGATTTGTGGCCGAGTTGAAGCACATCACCGGACATCGGAGCGTCTTCAAGGTTTTTCCTTCAGTGCCTGCGCTTCGCAGTGATGCTGCAAAAAGCGCATCCCGCTCCTGATGCGACCCAGCGATCATCTGCAACCCGTCAACGTTCAGCCTTTTTCAGCACAGCGAAGCACACCTGCACGCACAGTTGTCTTTTTAATGCAAAGACGGGGGTGGAAAAAAATGCATATATAGGCCTATATATATATAAATATATAAAATATATACATTCCGATTCCCCTCCAAACACAGTAGGTCAGTTTTATTCATCTCCAGTCCTCCTCATAAAGGGGGGAATCCCTCTGGGGAAGAAAAACTGAACCAAATGTGCGTCTTTAGTAAGTAATCGACGTTGAAAGCTGCTGCCTGAATTTTTGCACACTGAACCTTTTCACATTTGTCATTATTCCAGCCTAAATCCTCAATGACTGTTAAACTGAAGAGGGTAAGAAAAAAAAAAGACATTGTTTTGAATGTTTAACAGAAACAAATATGTAAAGTATTTGTATTCATCTGTTTCTGTTGGTGGGCTTCAACAGAACAGCTGGTAGGCAAAAGCATTGCAACCATTCCTCCTCGTTGCCCCAGACCCGGTATTGTTTTACAAGTGGGATCCCTTAGCAAAATCTCTTAGTCGCTATTTCTTCTTTCTGTTTTTATGCAGCCGGTCTAAAAATGATGTATATTTAATTTAATTTACACCATTTATTTGTAGCTTCCTGTTCGGAGTCCTGCTCAAAGGTGAAGCTCTGCCCCAGACTTCAGTTTGCTGCAGCGTCTCTATAGTAGCAGTTATTTTTCAATGACTGCTTTGTGTTTTGGTTAGTTTTTCTCTGTCCCTGCTGAATAAAAGCATCCCCACAGCATAATGCTGCAACCACCATGTCCCCACATTGTGCATGTTGACCAAAAAGTAAACTTTTGGTCACATCTGACACAGTATCCTTCTTCCATGCGTTCTCTCTCCTATGACTTTAAACAGGAGCTCTTATTGGCTTTCCTTCAACAATGACTCTATGCTTGTCACTCTTCCACAAAGACTCGATTTGTGGAAAGTATTTGACAAATGGTTTCCTTAATGAGATTATCACTTACCTGAGCTCTATATGCTCTGTCCGGAGTTTTCATGGTCAGCTTGTCCATTTCCTCCCTGACTGATTTGTGTGTTCCTTGGTTTTCATTATGTTGTTTGTTCACTAATGTCCTCATAGAATCATATCTGCTTTTATTTGTTGTATTTCAGTATTGCAGCAGTAGCAAAAATGGGGGGAAACTTCCAGAGATGAATGTTGTATCATGTCTGTACATCTTCATTATCTGTCTTAATTTACTGGAATCAGATGTCTGATGAGTTGACTGAATGCTGAAGCCCGGCAGCTCCATCACCTTCGATACAGGGTATTATTTGTTGTGAGAGAAAGGGCAGACTGGAAAAAGAGACAGGAAAGGGGATAGAAAAAGAGAGGACCGGTGTATAGAAGTGAGATTGTTACAGTTTTCTCTTTTGCCTGCTGGGAATGAGTTGGTTAAGGAGAAGTCAGAATGATTTATTGGGAGAAAAAAAGGAGGGAAATAGGGAAAAGAAGAGCAAGAAAGGAAGAGAGAGAGAGAGAGAGATGAGATGAGATGCCATCGGGGAATCCCTTTGTCTCCTCCAGTCCTTCCACTCCTCTCATGAGCTGTCCATTTAATCCCCCGCCCTGATTCCTCCTCCTCTCACCTTATTCAGGGAGGCTCGGTGAAAACTTTTTTTTTTTTTTTTTTTTTACACTGTTGTGATCCCTGCTTTGCGCCTGTGCTAGTTTGGTTCTGTGCTTGGGCCCTGGTGGTCTTCACGTCTGTTCTGCTTCTGCCTGATTCTCCGTCTCTCAGTGTTGGACATGAGAACTGGAATATTTTTACGAACACGGCTTATTTTCTTCTTACCATTTCTGCTCCGTCATTCCTTTCCTCTTTGACTTGAGCTCTTATTGTCTTTCCTTTGACTGTGTTGCGCATTCCAGGCAACCACAAATGTTTTTCCTTGGGATCAAATCTGACAGACCAGAGAAAATTATTTGCCCAAGGTAGATGTCTCGGGAGGCTGCCAGGTGCCAGGGGGTGAAATACAAATAAAATTCATTCCCTCAGTTTGGCAAATCCGTAAACATGGGTTTCTCTCTCTCTCTTTCTCTCTCCGTCTCTCTTTTTTTTGGTTCAGTGAAGCTGGAGCTGAGTGAATTCTTACATTCAGAATCAACAATCGCAGTCACATCACCCCGGCTACAAACAAGCTGGTGACTCAGCTTACCTTATTTTAAAGTTTAGCTGAGGTGTATTTCTTTTTTCTAAAAGCTCAGCGGCGGAACATAATGATGCAGATTTCCACTGGAGGATTTCACAAAAATGACTAAAATTGTGAAAATGTAATTGCTTCAATGTCAGATGATGAAGCGCTGTTAGGCCTGACTATGTTTGTATGCTCTATGGCAGATTAACAATTTAAAACTCTCATGTTGTTGATTTTCTCTTGTCTGTCAGACTTTTCAGCTGGGGAATACCTTGAAGATGAAAAGCATATTGATGAAGTTCTAACAGATCGATTGTTTTAGCGATGACTGGTTCCATTTTTTAAGTTATATCTTCAGCCTGGATATTGTGTTATCTACAAGGACACTTGGTTTGCATCTGGATTGTCTCTGATTCAAAAATGTGGGAGAAAAGAGGAGTGGATTCAGTTTTCCTGATTGGCTACATGCAGGATGTAAGCACCATGGAATCAGACACACAGAGAGCAACAACACAAAGAACAAGGAGAATCTCAGCTGAGCCTGATCAACTTGTCCACTTTAGATGTTACATTACATTACATCAAATTACATTGTGCTTAGCACACTGTAATTTGACTTTTATGCCACTTTTGAATTAATGGCTTCTCCTTCACTGAGTGGCATTTCATCCCCCGTCTGTGTGACACTTGCCTTACTATGAATAATAACATTCCCTTATCAGCTTCGCTCAGCATCTTCACGTCTTTTGCTTTTGTTCTGCGATTGATTCACACATTTCACCCTAAAACACATTCTTGTCTGGGTCACAGAACCCGACTCCGTCCTAAACAACATGATGACTGGACTGGATGTTTGTCTTGATGGAACGCAGTGCTCTGAGGTGCTGCCTCAAAATGCATCAACAAGTGTGCCTCCATTGTACTCAGCCGCTCTAAATAAAGCCATAATAAACATACAAAGCCAACGCTGGGCTTTCCTAAATTGACAATCATAGTAATCTCAGTATATATAAACTTTTGACTTCAAAGACAGAAACTAAAACATAATTTTTATAAATACAAAATTACAAACAGCACTCTTTTCTTGTTCTAGCTCTCATTGCTGTGGTATTCAGCAAACAAAAGTAATTCTAACTGACCTAAAGTAGAAAAAATTCTGTCTTATTGAAATGTGGAAAAATAGGTCACCCATTATTTAATGCAGCGCACGCAAACATCTGGCTTCAACTATAAGAAACAAATTTTAATTTGACTTCACAAGATATTGTTCTAGGATGACTCAGATATTTGTCCAGGCCTCAAAAGTTTTTGTGGCCTGTTCGCAGAACCGTTGGATTACCTGCGTGTATTATGAGAAATGACCCCAGACCCGGCTGCATATGTTGTCGCTGGAGGTCTCATGACATTTTCAGCACAGAGCTGGCGCACAGCACATGTGTCCAGAGCTCCTGAGTGAAACCTTGGAGTCTAATCAGAGCTCTCTCTTGGCACTAATGATTGGATTTGGGCTCCTGCTTCTTTTCTTTGTGCTCAGCAAGTAAACAACGCATATGTGAGCTCAGTGGGACTCCTAAATATGGAGCATTTTCCTTTTTATTTGTCTCATTCCGATGGATTTCTTGATTCAGGAGTCTCTCTTTCAGACCACCAAATGCTCGCTCTCTTCCTTGGCCTGCTTCAGTGTTCACTGTTGTGTTAGTAAATTGTACTGACACTCTTCCCCCCACCCCACAACCGCCCGCCTCTGTCGGCTCCCTCCTTTCCTCTGCCTCCCTCCCTGTCCCTCTTTCACCCGAGTGACTGACACGAATTTTCAATTTCTCTGTTTACCTTTCACTGCTGTGCCTAAAACAACACTGATACAGACTAAGAGCAAGGAGGAGGCCGGGGCAAAGCGAGGAAACGGGTGGGGGGTAAATGGAGATGAGCCTGGAAGGACGATGGGGAGAGGTGACACTAAGACAGAGGATGAGGAGGTTGGATGGAGGAGGGGGGGGGAGTTTGGGATGCAAAAATAAGAGAAGTGCAAAAAGAGAGAGAACAGGGCTTTCTCTGTGTTTTTGGTTGCAGAGGAATCCAAGAGGGAGAAAGAAGGAGTTGGTTCTGGGTGGGTGGGGGTACAGGAAGGAGAAAGGGAGCCGATACTTCTGAACAGTCACGCAAACTTATTCAACAGAGTGGATGGAGAGAGGAAGGGATTGACAGGATGGAGGAGATTGTGAGTGGAGGGCTGGGAGAAAAACTTTGATGGGGGCACAGAACATTAGGAGTGCAATGAGATATAGAGAGAGGGGGGAGATTTATGAAGGTGCAAAAGGAGAGGGAGGACAGCAAGAGTGATGGGCAGAAAGGCTTTCTTTTCTTCCTGAAGAGGAAAAGAGTGAGAATAAAGAGTGGAGAAAGAAAGAAAGAGAGAGCTCAGAATAGATATGCTCTCAGCAGCATGAAATATTGAACGAAGGAGAGCGAACACAAGGAGGAGCGCAGAAAATGGAGGGACTGATAAAGACAAATACAATCGTTTTGTGTGTGTGTTGTT